CACTATATCCCCGACACGCAATAGCACACTAAAGGTTGTACATAGTTATTTGCAGATTTTGCACTTCAGCTGTGATAATAGTGATATTAGGATAGTTGCAGTGAGGATTTTGACTCAAAAAATAATTAGAGAAATGTATGTGTTTCTTAGAATGTGCATATAACAATATTTTTTGGGGGTGAACTTTGTGGTATACGGTTGATGTTAGAGATATTTATATGCGCAATCTTGACTTTTGTAGATTAAGAGGCCGGAAATTGTTCGTGCTTAAAACATGGCTATTCACAGTCATTAATAAAGAGAATTTAATGCTTCAAAAACTGAATTATGCTATGTTGTTACTTTTTTGTCTTTTGCATTCTTTGTTTGAGAGTTTTTCATGTGTAGGACAATATCCACCTCTTGTTTTATCGCTTTTCTCTGTTTGCTTGTTATTTGTTTGTTTGTAGGTATTTGTTTGTTTTATGGGAGTAGATCTTACATTTCTATATGTTCTTGTTTTCTGCTAGTAAAATGGCTGGTTTCAGAATATTTTTATGAATTTTAAAACATTCCTTTAGGATGATTTCCGTGAGGATACCCTCTCTTCTTTCACTCTCTTCCCTCTTCTTTTCTCTCCTGTTTTCTGTTTCCCTATCTCTATGTCTGTCTGCAACTAGACCTATTTCGCTCTCTCTACATGCCAATCACTCTTTTACTTCTTCCATCCCCTTTCTCTGTCTGTTTGTCTTTGTCTGCCTCTCTCTCTCTCTCTCTTTCTCTGTCACACGTTCTCTTATGATTCTTTCTGTTCCTCTCTCTGTCCCAATCTTGCTCTCCTAGCTCTTCCCCTCTCCTACTGACACCCATCCCATGCATATAGGATTGAAATGTGGATACTGAAAGGTAGAGGGGTGAAAATGCAATCATTCATTATAAGAATAACACCTACATGTTAACCAATTAAAGCACACAAATATGTGTTGGTAATGGTGAAGAACTGGATAGACTATTACATTTATGTGTGACGAATCGGAAAAAAAGAAAAAAGGACATTAAAGAAAGGACAAATCGTAAACAGACTGGGCGAAATGAGGACAAATAAAAATAAAGAAAAAGGTCTGCAGCCAATCAAAGGAAGAACGATTTTATAGTTAATTGGCGATTGAAGTACCTGGATAGATGTCGTCGAACAACAGATCTACTAATGCCATGGTACATCTACGGATGGTGGCACAATTCTTCGCTGTTTTCACGAAGTGACGGTAGTGAAGAAAAAAATGCATTCACTTTGCGTGACGATTTTCCTCACTACCGTCACTTCGTGAAAACAAGGACGAATTGATGAATTCCTTCTCCTTTTCTTTTTCCTTTTTTAATTTTGGTGTGGCTTCCCCTTCTACTGAACTTTGAGTTCATTTTTCTTTCTTTATTTGTGATATTTTATCATGTAAATTTCTATTTTGTTTGACTTAATAAAGTACAATTCTCCTTTCGGCTATTTCATTAATCTCTCTCTGTCACCTATAACACTCCTGGTTCTATGCGAATGCCCCTCCCCCTCTCATCCTAGTTTGCAGTTTGTGTCAATGTGTCATGAGAACGTTATTCCCCCCCCCCCGTCCACACACTCACACTTTATGTGAATGAAAGTCATTTGCAATTTGCCCTAGGTATAGCACATATACTCAAAATAATCTGGGAATGAATGATATAGAGTACAAAATACTTTACAAAATACTTGACAGAATGATATTATCGTAATACTAATTCCTCATATTCCAACTAAAGACAACTTTAAGAACAATCTTTTTAAACGCAGTGTAAAATTTGCAGAAATTTCTATTTGTTCTTTCTTTTAACTTGCGGATCCCGAAAAGTGGATCACAATGTCTATTCTCCCATTTGAGATAAAATAGAATATTTATGAACAAAATCATTTCTCATGGTAAAAGAGGTACAGAACCACCCTTTCAATTTTTAGCCTCAAAAAGGTAGGCTGGATTCCCCCAAAAAGAAAGATATTTTTTTCGGAAAGCTTACCCCTCCTAATAGTTACACAATTAAATCATATTCTTATTTATCATGATAACGAATATAAAAAAAAGAGTTCATGGAAAATGTAACAAAGGCAGGACAATTTAGCAAACCTGAATCTTAAAAACCTATACATGCTCCTAAAAAGATCGAATTTCATTTGACCATATGGCATCCAAATCTTATATCTCCCCACCACCACATAAGAGGCAATTACAATTTCTTATTCCAAAATGATATTTACATTCAGTCATAATTATATTCGTATCTAAATTATAATAATCATAGTGGAGAAATAGCACCTATGTCTGACAGAACACAAAAATATTTTCATATTGATAATCAGTTTAGCGGTGTATTTATGCATAACTGCAAGAGAATACAACAATTACAGTACGCCATCAGTTTATAAGTGATTAGTGTATAGTACTATGTACGATGAAGAGGAATATTAAAGACCGTCAACACTACTGGGCCAGAAGTGATTAGACCACACAGCGAGGTCACTGACAGGTGGCTATCTCATTAACTCAGCTCTCAACTAACATAAGAAAATGAGGATCATGGGGACCAACAGGCACCGACTGGGGAAGTTTTCTATATAGAGGGAGCAAGTAGCTACAAATAGGACAGTGGGGCTTTAAAGCTCTCGGTGCACATCTGATATTTGTTTCTCGTATATAAATGTGCAAAACGGCGTATTGCTGGAACACAATTTGTCTCTTATACCATTTTTTATTCCGAATCATCAATATTAGTTATATTTTACATATTGTATAAACCTGTTTTTGACACTTTTTTCCAAGAGAACACGTGTTTGACACAGTATGAGCGAATTGTAATCACCTTTAATCTAATCCCATCCCTTGTTACTGCCTATTATAACATAACGACGTGGATTCCAATAAAATGATTGGTTGAGAGCGTCCACGTGACCAGACATTTATTTTGCTTACACGTAATTTGGATAATAATCGGTCATTATCCAATGGTAATGACCGGTCATTATCAAAATCATGTTATAAAACAAATAAAACATAATGTTATAAAACTTATAGAACATTATCTTTAAAAAAAAATAATACATATCATTTTGTTCGGGCATTAGTAAAAATTACCCCCACTCGATAACTTCAAAACAGTCCAAACACGGAATATAATGAAGTTATGATTTTTTTAAAAGTATGAAAACTATGGAACGATAGAATCACTACCCAAATTGCCAGTTTGGTTATTAGTTTGTGACGTGATTCCCTCACTATTTATCAATTGCTTTATATATTTTTATCCATTACTTTCCCTTTTTATCTCAGAAAACTTGATTTCCCCGTGTTAACTTATTATGGGCGTTCCAAACTCAAGCTATGCTTTCCGGGTTTTCGCATCCTTCCGTATCTGAATTATGTACTGTATACTCTAAGTTGAAATCATTGTTACATATATAATTTAAATATACATTGTGTTTCATATTGTACTGTTGAGAAGGAAATAAATGTCAATAAATACAAATACAAATACAATACTTTGCCCAGGTTATATGATTTGTATCATATTGCGTGCATGACATTTCAAAAAATCTTTATGAACTTGAAGAATTAATACTATTTTATATTGTATATTCATAATCATTGATTTTTATATGAATAGTTTATCAAACTTCACATTTTTCATTAACTGAAAAAATTACTCCATATTAGTGCATCAACACAAAAACATATTACTATCAATAAACTTGGATGCTGGTGTGAGGAAATAAGATTCTTGGGGGTGGGCGGGGGGGGGGGGGGGGATGGGAAATTTATATTATCAATATAAAGAAATCAATTAGTGGATAATGAGGCAATGACGTCACAGACTCATGAGTGAGTTGCCAATTTGTCTTGTGGTTTTCAAAGTTGTTTATGCCATTAAAAAATCATAACTTTATTATTAGTTATCCGATTTTGCTCAGACTTTTTTTTTTGGATTGGTTTGTCTGATATTTCTGCTTCTATTGAAAGTATGTCTATTGAAAGCTATGTATAGCTATTTTATACTCCGATAATTTATTGTCTCAATCATCTCCATCCAGGCATTTCTATACCGGAGCACCTCTCATGTTGATTGCAGTGTCCGTGTGTATGTGTAGGGCGTGTACGATTATATTGTGCGTGTGTGTTAGAGGTGTGTATAGGGGTGTGTATAGAGGTGTGTCGTGTGTGTCTTTGTATGTGTGTTGATGCGTGTTAGCGGGAGAGGTGTTCCGGCGTGGAGGTGCCTGGATGGACGAGATCAATAACGAAACAAAACAAGCTTTTTAAACTGCACTGCCTTTTCCTGAGTTTTATCTTATTCTTTTAATGTAACCTTTCTTAAAATTGTGATGATTGTTAAATGTTATGTTGAAATGTAATTATTTTGTCTGTATTTATATATTTATATTTGTATGTACATGTAAAGCACCTTTTAAATGTCCGAAGGCAAATTTTATGTATTTTTTACATGACAATAAATTATCTTGAATCTTGAATCCTGAATGTTATTTTTGGAGTGGACTTGTCCTGGGCTGTAGCATGGGAAATACTGGTTGCCGCCATCTACGTCTTCTTTTGGACAACTGCACGTAAACGAATGGACTGGATTAACTTGGTCAGCGCGCCAGCGCTCGCGAAACAGACCGAAGTTCTCCTCACGCTTCGGTTTCGCGTACTAGTATGCTGAATACGTAGGCCTACTGCGGTCGCGTCGTCCGTAGTCGTACTATAGGCTACCCGATTTTCCCCGAGTGGGCGTCGGTAAAGACGCATAGTCTCGTAATGCTACAGCCCCTTTAACCTTATTTATAAATACCAATTCCTCAACCTCAGACCACTTGAATGAATAGTTATTATAATGTATTTTGAAAACAAAAATCGACTGAATGTACTACATAATAGAAAGTTTAATTTTGTACGAAACGACATTTATCGCTGTTTATGAAATCCATGCCCTTTCATCTCTATTAGCTACATGAGTCGTTCTTTGAGATGCTCCCTTTTCCTGTACATCGGGAGATGAAGCACGATGAAACCGTGACAAGTATTCACCTCAGGGCACATGTCTTTTGGGGGTTCTCCCCTACAATCTTGGTCTCCTCCCATGGGCCACATCCTAGGACTAATCTCCTGGAAACCACCAATGGGTACATGGTTTGCACCCGTCAAGACTCCTGAAAACAATTCGCATAGAAGATGAATAATCGGCTACATGTCCATTTTTCTTATAAAAGATAAATTTGAGTTCTCGTAAAAAAAAAAAAATCAATTCTCACAAAATCAAACACAACTTACAATAAATCTTAAAGATTACAAATAAATGTAATTTGCCAAACAATTTTGGTAGAAAATGTATAATGGCTGAGTAAAGAGCACAGAAAAATAAGGAAATCAAGGTGTCGGGCCCCGACACCATTTGTGTAGTCCCATATACATATTTCTGTGTACGGTGCTTGTTACTTTACCAAGACTGGGCCAAATCTATTATGATTGTAATGACTCCAGAACCTTGCAGTACATACCAATATACTTACATGCTACATGGTCAACTTTTTTTGATCCTTTCCAAATCTTTTCTTTCACAATGCAATCGCATGACCAGAAATTAACTTTATCTTTAAGGTTCATAAATCAGAAAGTCTATTACTTTGGAATTTGGTTCAGAATTTGAAGGTTCGTATTTTGGACAGTGAAATAGGGCTCATAATTTCCACGATTCTGAATGTTTCTAATTCCGAAAATGACATTTAGAACACTGTATAATTCGTTCAGGATTACGATTTTTTGTTGAGAATTTCATTCTCAAAATTATGACCCCACCTGGTATAGGAAAACTGTGTTTCTGAATTTCAAACCTTCGGATTCATGACTTTCGGAAAAACGAGTGCCAACCGACATAATCAAATTAAGGCAGTGGGTGGATTATGAAAGCATTGTGCCCTGAAAACGGAGCGAGAGAAATGACTGCATTACTATCATCTGGCCACAGTGACACTATCGTTGTCTTGAAAGTAACACCCTGCCAAAACAGGATTGTCTTGTCAAAATGACAAAAAGATGCCAAATCAGCACAAAGCTTGTCCCAGTATGTTTTAAAGCCCGTCTGTACTAGTTTGACCAGGAGGGATTAGAATCCCCAGAGTGGTCACTAACATGTGGCTATCTCAGCTCTCAATTAATATAAGAAAAAATGCTTGTCACAATATGTTTTAAAAAGGATTATCAAAAAGAATGAAATAAATGATCTTCTTGATATTATCAATTTTTCATATAGCACTATGCTAAAGGCACGTCCACATTTAGGCATTTGTCGGTCAACGATCACCAGTGGAGATTTGACTTAATCAGAAAGTCTCTTTTATCATCCTCAGACCATGGAACACTGACCAAAACATCTTGACCACACGATCGTTTGCTGTGTAGCCTTTCTCATAACCAAAGCTCTGTGTAGAGAAGGGCAAATTAAAAAAAATATGAAAATAAACAACAGCACCAACAAAGAAAAGATAATTGATCCGTGCCACAAAAAAAATCAAACAAAATTTCAAATTTGCTTCTCAAGAAACAAATTTCAAGAATACAGTGTGTATTATCTTTGTTTTATCTTCTATTAAATCTAAAAGCACCTACCAACTTTGCATTATTCCAACAAAAAGAATTACGATATTTTGTTTATTTTCTGCAACCATGTTGTCCAAAGTAGATTAATTTTCTACAATCGTGATTTTTTTTTAGTGCGTTGATGAGAGAAGATAGAAGGAAAAAAAAAGAATGTTGAAGAAGAGGAGCTCACTTTTTGAAAGGCCTGCCAATCATATTCCCTTCCTTGGAATAATGACAAACAGCTCTTGTGGTGCGAAACGTTGGTGAAGACCGAAACGACCGAACATGCTTCGAAAACTCTCACTGAATACATCGAACTGGGAGGATGCTGTGTAGTGCCTGGCGTAAAGCTTGATGTACTCTCGACTGGGTTTCAAAAAATAAAAGAAAGGTTTTCATTGAAAGACTTAAGGTTTCTCCTCATTTTCAGGGTTCGGTTGGAAACGAGAGTAAATGTAACGCGGCCTTTTTTAAACATTTCTTTTATTGTTCAAAATTACTTCTCAGGATACCATAATTAATAATAGGGGTATAGAAATCTTGTAATTAGTGCTTTAACACAAGAAAGAGACTTTTTAACTTAAAATCAAAGCTATAAATTCCAAATGCTATGTGACGTTTGTTTTGAAATGATATTTTGCGTTAGTATAAAATCTATATTCTAATAATTCTAGAGCTAGTATCTAGAAAGGAGTTCTTAATTTAAATCAACATTAAGTTCCCTTAATGTAGATAATTTCATAAACAGTTAAGTTTTTTTTTTAAATAACATTTTTAGACAAATTGATCCACAATCAACTACGGTATAGGTGTTGTGGTCTAGTGGATAAGTCACCCGACTACATATCACAAGGTACGGGGTTCGAGTTCTGCCGCGGCACTAATGTCCTTTAGCGGCACTAATGTCCTTTAATTGGCAAGATGTTAATCTACATTTGCCACTCTACACCCTGGTATTAAATCGGTACCCGGTAGAATGCAAAAGTTAATGTGGTTAGATGAGCATGACGTGTACGCTTAAAATTACGCCTGGCTGGAATGCTCCCCAGGGAGTGGAGAAAATAATGTGTGTGAAATTGATGACCGGGAAAATAATATATCTGTAAAGCACTTAGAGACATCATCGACGTATCAAGCGTTATATAAAAGCGGAATATTATCATTGTTATTACTTCCACGACCTAATGAAAATGTCCTATATAGAAGCTTAAAAAACACAACGGTAGAAATCTTTCTGACAGAGTCATAATACACTTACACATTTGCTGTGGTCACGACCACGTCTTTGCCTCCTGGTTTGAGTTCGATCTCCAGTTCGTTCACAGGTCCATCCACCGTAAATCTGTAGTCGAAAAGGTCATCGTCACTCGCCTCTATTAATGTTTGCATGCCTTTCGCCATCCCGGGATCTAGAAGTTCCAGATCTTCGAAACTGGATTGGCTGAATATTGTTAAAATATTGAAAGAAGTAATAATTTAGTTGTTAACTGTATGCAATCAGCAATGCATCCTCAAATATGATTTATTCACGGCTAACAAAAATAACAAACAACCAAATTTGCGTTTATGTCGTGGCTTTATTAACATTTTGAGATGGACGCTTATTTTGCACATTTTGATTTTCTGGGTGTCATAACAAAATAACCCAGATATATTGAATCATAAAAAATGCTTACAAATGCAATGCTAGGCCCCCCGCCTATGAAATCGAGTGATGCCTAGGCTAAACTTATATACATTAAGTCATTATATCAGCCCCCCGCCTATAAAATCGAGTGATGCCTAAAGTTATGCTAGGCCCCCCGCCTATGAAATCGAGTGATGCCTAGGCTAAACTTATATACATTAAGTCATTATATCAGCCCCCCGCCTATAAAATCGAGTGATGCCTAAAGTTATAGAATATAGATGTATATATATACCAGCCTCTCCGCCTGTAAGATCGGATGATGCCTAAGATTAAAGCGTGACACTCTGAGTTTGAAAATGTGTAGGTACAACTAGGTCCCCCCGCATTCAAATCGAATGGGGGCCGGAAAACTAAGAATTGACATGCGAACAAATTCGACTGAATATACATTGGCAACCCCCTCGCATGTAAAAATTGAGTGGGGTCGAAAATTATCGGATGACAATTATTGATCAATAAACTTATCAGTACCATGTGATTAGTGATTTGGAGGCATAATTTGACAAATTACCGCCAAACGAGAATATATTTATATATGATCGGCCGCCAAATCACAACGTTGTCATCACATTACAATAAGTTGAGGGACATCTCCATAGAGGCCAAGCGTATTCAAAACGCACCACAAAAGGGCGCACAATCAGGTATGGGCTTTTACACACACTGTCCATTTTACGAGCTCATATCTCCCCGAATATATCTTGATGTACAAAAGAACCCGATTTTATGAAAATTCAGGTATAAGACTTGCTATAGATGCCAAATTTGTCTACTTTTGTGAAAATTTTACATAGGTACCTTTCGAGTTGAAAAATAGCTTACAAGGCACTTTCTAGGGCAATTAGCCTGCCACAACACGCGTTTTCACATTGACGCGAGGTGGAATATTTCCAACCGGATTTCCAACTTTGGCGGGGCGTTTCACTGTCGACACGTTGTTCATTCACAAAAAAAAAAAAAAAAAAAAAAAAAAAAAAAAAAAACCTACATAATTAATTGCAACAGATCCTTATGCATATTCATGAAAAATTTCGTGGCAATTTGCAAAAATTCGCCATAGGTACCTTGTCAATATTCATAAACCTTGTCAATCCGACTAGCTAGCAAGGCCATTTTGCCCATGCCATAGGTGTACACACAGTAGCATGCGCGTGCAACAATTGTAATACGCGATGCTGATTGGATAACTATCGTTAGAGTATGATGTCGCATAAGGTTAGCGCGGGATCACTTCATAAATATTCATTCCTTATGACCTCCCAACGGCTCTCAACGACTGGCGCGCGCGTATGCAATGTGCACACTACGCGCTAATTGGTTTAATCTGTTTTACATTGCGCGTATGCGAATAAGGTCAACTCGTGATAGTTATATGAATATTCATTAATCAGTACCACCAATGGGCTCTGATTGGCTGTATGTAAATGAAAACAATACGTCATACCTCATTAGGTTTTGTCCCCTGACGCGTATTAACTTGTTGTAATGAACGATTTCTGTGCCCTAAGTGGAATATCTATGCTTAACTATTTACACTTTGGTGGAATTAACATTTCAATTGGCCAAATTAACCAATGTACATGTACAGGCATGTACTTTTTCGCCCTTAGCTAATTTATAACCCTCTAACAGACTACAGAGTATCGTAATAAACTTTTCTCCACAACACCGGCACATCATTATGCCTAATTCATTCCCCTCAAAGAAGTGACTAAACCGTTAATGCCCATTTCGAAATGAAGCATTTACTGGTCATTTACCAATGTCCACCTAAACCTGCCCCATATAACCATTATTTACTCTCCACAACTTTGTTACTCCCAAAATAAGGCACTCTTATCCCAACAACAAAAACATGATCTTGCGGTGCCGGACTCAAACTTTTTTGCGCCCAATAAACAAAATCACGTGAAAATCACGTCAATATCAAGGTATCGACTTGAGGACAGTTACGTTCTTCAAACACCCGACATTTACGTAAATGTGTTAATACGTTTATTGCACTAGGTAACTTAAAACACACGTACACTAAATCACGCAATTGTCACTGCAATATCACCATTATAATAACGTGATTATCCCTACCTTGGAGACCTTGGTTTGTAAACCTAATATTCCCGTGTTTGTTTGGTTATGAAATTACATCTTCATAAACGAAATTATTGCGTCACAGAAACACGTGAAGCGTTAGTGATAGTTTTAGTCAAAATATCTGCTTGAAATTCACGTGAATATTACGAGGCTGACTTGAGGTGAATCATTTGAAATTATTTTAGTTCATAGTTAATGTTTCCCTTATTCATGTTTAACTAAATGTAATTTATACGAAGTAGCGAAATGTCCTAATAACTGGTAATTTATATTTGTATTATTTTTCGAAATGAATTGCATATAACTAAATCATCAGTAATTAAGAAATATGCTGTAAATTCAGATAAATTGTTTAAAAAACATAGATCTGCACGCACCCCATTTTCAATATGCAAATTAACTGGTGTCAGCTGGTTCAACTCGAAATATGCCAACACTCAGTCATCAACCGGTGCAACTGGAAATATACACACTCCAGTTATCAACTGGTGCAATGAAAATATGCCAACAGTCAGTTATCAACTGGTGAACATAAAAATATGCCAACAGTCACGGTATTATCACCACGGAACTTAAATGGTAACTGTGAAACCATCAAGACACCCAAGAATAACTCATTTTCACACCTGAAAAACACGGAATACCCAGCTTATATAAATAATCCGTTTGAGTCACGATATCATCACCGCGGAACTGCTGGCAACGTTGACTATCATTCAAATAGGTGTTTTAAGACACCTAATCATGACTAATTATTCACACCTAAAAGTCACGTATGCCCAGCTTAGATTAATATTCCGTTTAAATCACGAGATCATCACCGCGGAACTGCTGGCAACTTTGACTACCATTTAAATAGGTGTTTTAAGACACCTAATAATTACTAATTTTTCACACCTAAAAGTCACGTATGCCCAGCTTAGATTAATAATCCGTTTGACTCACGGGATCATCACCGCGGAACTTATGGCAACTTTGACTACCATTTAAATAGGTGCTTTAAGACACCTAATCATTACTAATTTTTTCACACCTAAAAGTCACGTATGCCCAGCTTAGGTTAATATTCCATTTGAGTCACGAGATTATCACCGCGGAACTGCTGGCAACTTTGACTACCATTTAAATAGGTGTTTTAAGACACCTAATAATTACTCATTTTTTACACCTACATATCATGGATTCACAGCTTAGATTAGTAATCAGCTTGAGCCACGTGATCATAACCAATAAATTTATGGTAACTTTGAAACCATTTAAAGAGGTGTGTAAGACACCTCCGAATTACTAATTTAATATAACCAGAGATTCACGGACAGAACAATAAGACGATTAGCCGGTGTAAGCAACGTGATTATTACCATCAACCTTGGATAACCTGTGAAACCAATCGATAAAGGTGCTTACAAGACCAATTAATTACGTATTTATCGCCACCATCGGTTAACGGACAAAAAACTCGTTGCCTGGTCAAGTGGTTATTTGGTCATAAACACTCCACTTACAAAGGTAAGTGGAATCACGTTATTCCAGTCGCGTAATAAACTGGTGGTTTTTAGGTTAAATGAAAACGTGAACAGGAATACCTTTTTTGTTTAAATGAAGGCACGTGTCGATAACGTTTAAATCTAGTTCAAAAGGCGCTATACTTTAAAATCACTTAAAATACACTCCCAAAAGAGGTTACTTTTTAGTGTTCTGTTTATTGGGCGGGATTTACTTTGCTACCCGAACAGACTTAAACATTGAAATATAAGAACGCTGACATATAAGAACACTGAACTATAAGAACATTGAAATATAAGAAAAACGTGTTTTGTAACATTATCATTGTTTAACTACTTGGATGAACCGAGATAGGACAGGCCCTCCTTCAGGTCAGTGATAAACCTGTCGAAACCCTCATTGGAGAGATGCAATCCGTCCGGCCTATATAAAGCCCTATCCTTATGCCTTATGTCGGGGTGTGGAATGGCCTTTCCCCCATTCCTGCCGGCCAAGGCGCTAGCGTATCGGTTCGTGGCCCTCCTTCTATCGTCTAATTTTTTCTGCTCTTCCGGACTACAGCATTTATATTCTACCCGTTCTAGGCTGTCAGACCATATTATTGTCGTCTCAGTGTTCGATGTGATTAATCTGTTCACCGAATTCGCCATCGCCCTCTTCGAACATCCCTCTATGTCATTCGTGCCCACGTGTAACACTAAAACGGTCGGCTTCGTCAGGCCACTGGTAATCGACTCTAGCCATGCGTTTGTTTGGTCCAAGCGAAGGCCCCGCTTTCCAGCACAATGGATGACCGTCCCCAAATCCATATCGGCGCAGCCAATCCGCTCCGCCCTGCGATGGGCCCAGAAAACGATAGAGTCGCCTACTATCCATATTTGTTCTGTGGACAAAATAAGAAAAGAGGACTGGGCAGCATTTTGTATTCCAAAGAACATGCGTTAATGTGAACTTGAAATCCCATTATATTTTCTTGCTCTTGTTCTGCATGTATGTTTGTTGTCTGCTTGACTTCGTTTTCATTTTCATGTTGTAGCACCATTATTATTATTATTGCTATTATTATTATTAGCTTATTTAACCTCTCGAGGCGAGGGACTTATTCCTCTGGGTG